TCATTATACACTTATATGAAGGTAGAAAGCTAAGTACAATAACAGAGTATAGCAATATAGCCTTTATAGAGGCAGGTGATAGAATAGACCAAGATGAAGTTTTATCTTCTTTAGTGTGAAGAATTTTCTACGACCCATTACTATGTAAAGTGCAAAATGCAAATCTGGAATATAAAATGAAAGTGGAATTTAATAAAACCAAAAGTAAATATAGTACCAAATTACTAGATTTGAAAGTTGGAGTATTGGCATATGCTGATGACACAACGTAGATAATGGGTGATTAAGAGAGTATGCAAAAGACAATTGATATCTTAGATGAGTTTTATAAACTAAATAATATAGAGATAAACCCGAACAAAACTGAGTTGGTTATACTAAAACCCAAAAAAAGAAGAGCAATAGCAGATTTGCATGTATGAGTAGGAACTTCTAAAACAAGAATAATGGCAAAAAGTTACACAGAAGCTACATGGTTTCTAGAGGTTTGGATATTAATGCAAAACCAACACAGATCAGATATGGGTAGAGCAAGAAAAGAAGTAAACAGGATAACAGGTTTACTAAAGCACAAAAAAATGTTGCTCAGTCAAATACTGTATATAAACAATGCAGTATTAGTGCCCATGCTCAAATACAGACTCATGCTCTCATATTTAAGTAAGAGTTAATGTAATAAAATATATCAGCCGATTTTACATTTAACAAAGTAGAAAATGACAATGCCATCTATAACAGCAAATATAGTACCAAAACATCCAGAAATGTTAAATTTTAAGAGTTTCTGGAATAGACATGTGGAGCATCTTCTTATAGAGTTTTTAGTAAGATTAAATGCAGGTGGGCCTCTAGAAAAATCAATACTATAAAACTCACCCAAGATCAATTAAAAAGCAGCTCTATTAGATGTATTACAACAAATGAAAATATGTTAGTGAAAAGAGAGCTAAAATTGAAAAATTTGGGAGTACAAATACTTTAACAAGCAAAATATCTTGGTTTTAAGGTAGAAAAAAATGATTTTACCAAAAGTATGAACATTGAAATAGCACAAGTAGTAAATAATCATGAAGTTGCAGAATTGCTAGAAAGAAACTAAATATATTATGAAGAAGCCAATATGAGCAAGCTAAGTTTATAAGCCACTTCATAGCTACTTTCAAAAGATGGCAAAGAAATGTATACATGGAAGCAATTAAAAATAATATACAACTTAGATAAAAGAGGAAAGAAAACCAAGTGGTTCGAGAAGTTAGAAAAAGAAATGATTGCAAATATAGAGACAAGAGAAGTTAAACCAGTATACAGAATCGAATCACACAATTACAATACACCCATGCTAGTACTAAATTCTGTAAAAGTAGACAAGAGGACAAAAGAATAGGTTATGTAGAAAAACCAAGCTTATGTAGATATAAAGATCAGAAAAATCAAAAAGAAAGTAGGAAAGTATACAGAAATAGAAAATTATACAGAAGGTGAAATAGTGCAAACACACAGGGGTGCAAAAGCTCTAAAGCACAATCAGAGCCACATATTAGAATTAGTAAAGCAAAAAGAATTGAGTAATATATCAAACATTATACAGAAAACTAAAAATGGCTCGCAAATAGTTTTAGACTCACATTATCTTGTTAAAGTGTTGAGAAAGAAAAAGCAAAAGACAATAGTAACCAAGAAAGAAATATACGAGAAGAAAAAAGAAGAGATGGTATTAGTAGAATGTGATAGGTGGGAAGTATATATTATTAGAAAAGTGGTAGAAAACATAGATATTAGAGATAGGCTTATAGAATATTTAGATCAAAATACTAGTTTAGATAGTTTAGTTTTTTATACTAATGGCTTACTTGGGATATGCGAAGTTTTAGAGATGATGAAAATGGGTTGTGGAATAGTGCAAGTCTCAGAAGAAGGACAAATCCTACATCAGATTGCTCTTGCGACAAAAAATTAGTTTTCATCAACCAGAGCAGAACTCGTTGCAATACTTGTTACAATATTAGTAACACCAAAATAAAAGAAAGTAGAGATAAAAACTGACAGTAAGGCATCTATATTATCAATTCAGAAAGGGTTTGAAATGCACAAAGTTAGATAGTGGATCAAAACCAAGAATAGTGATTTTGTTGCAATGATAGCAGAAGTGATCAAAACCAAGTAGCTAGTACTCGAACTAGTAAAGGTCACTCAGGGGACTTTTATAATGATCTAGCAGATATTAAAGTCAAAGAAGGTGCGGGCAGTGCAGAACTTTTAATTCCCAACACACTGAGTACAAAAGAGTTCAAACTAAAATATAGTTGGGAAGGCAAATTAATAGAAAAACCAACATGCTTTTTATTAAAATGCTAGGGAAAGTAATTAATAGAGTGGAATGGGTACATACACATGGTCATCAAGATGCCTCACATCAAGAAAAAAAAGTTGCACAACACTGGCCTGTATTCTACAAAATCTTGGAGAGTGGGAAAAAATAGCAAGACCATACTTTTGAGTCAAATACATAGTAGCTCTTCAAAATAAAATATATAAATAATGCATTACTAGTACTAGCAAAGCTCAATTAAAGAAGACCTGATCTATACAAGGCCCCAATATGTATAGTATGCAAGAAAAAAGATGAAAATATAGAACATTTGGTTAGCTGTGAGTTCTCAATGAACCTTTTAAGAGATATAAAAGAACAAGTAGTAGAAAGAGTTCTTGATAAAATAGTATCTGAAGACATAGAAGAAAAGAAAGAGTTAATACTTGTGGTTTTAGAAAAAGGTAGTATGCTCGAAAAGCTACAAAGAAGAGCTAGATGGATCAGAGGTTTAGTTACAAAAGAAGACTTCAACGATTTGCGGCAAAATTTTGACTCAAACAAACAAACTCTCAGTTTTATAAAAAAACTCTGGAAAAACTAGATAAAACAAGTCTATGAAAAGATATAGATCACAAGATGCAAACTAGTTCAAGAATAGGAAAGAAAAATTAGAATAACAAGAAGGGCAAAAAGAAGATCCAACCCAAGGTTCAAGGATAAAATAAACAGAAAAAAAAGAAGGAAAAAAGAAGAAAGTGAAGATAGAAAGGGGGAGACAAGAAAATCTAAAAAAGAAAGCAAAACACATTGGGAAGATACACTAGATCTAGCTAAAGAAGCAGTTTTAGCTTAGATTAAAGAAGGCCAACGTGCATTATGGTGGAAAACTAATTAGTAGTCTTGACAGTATCAACGAGCTTATATCAAAGCAAGTTGGTACTAAGGTATATTACAGTACTATATAGGTAAAAGGCATTATAGTTACTAAATGAGTGCCACCAAGAGAAAACCCCTAATTGGGCTTTTAATTATATTTTGTACCAGACATATTCTCTAAGAAATTAAATAGATTTTGTCTAGTATAAAATATAATTGAAAGCCCGATTAGGAGTTTTCTCTTGGCGGCACTCAAATAGTAAAGATCTTACCTGGGTCAGGTTATGAATTTCTCAGTGTAGAAAATAGGTAAACTCAAATCACAAGCAAGATCGAAAATTTTTTTCAATACAAAATCTGAAAAATTTCAATTTAAATAATTGAAGTACAGCTGTTCTCTGTACTAACAGCTCTAATTAAGTATCATTGCATCAATTTTAAGGATTAATTTCAAAAACTTTATGAATTTCTATTTGACCTGTTGACCCGGGTTATAACCCGGGTCAATACCTGACCCATCTGGGTTGGTATTTTCTGACCCAGATAAGAGCTCTATATATGGTTTATCACCCTTTAGTTCCTTAATATATTATAGATACTTCAATTTTACAATTATTTATTACCATGCCAGAGGCACGGGTCATACACTAGTTTATATATTAATATAGCAAAATTTAAAAAGTCGATTCTTTGTTATATGATCAAAACAAATTTTATATATAATCACACCTCTATATAATCACGAAATTTACTGTGCCCAAAAGTGTGATTATAAAGAGGGAAGACTGTATTTCCCAATTCTAAATTCACTCTTTATTATCAAGAGTTTAATTTTCGTTTATAAATTGATATTAATTATAAATTATATAATATGTACAGTAACTATAAAAAATAGCTATTGACCTTATACGTACCGTACAGCACAAAAAGAAATTCACAAGATATAACAAATATATAGTAAGTAATCCAATTAGACGAAGCTCCCTGCAATATAAACCATAATTAAAATTGTATACTATATATATTACGTTCTTGTAAATAAATTAATTATGCATTGCTGTAATAAAGTCAGAAAAAAAATTAAGCGATATAATATATATAAGACCATACAAAGTTAATTACTTGGTTTTCATAACATGAAACTTTTAAATAGACCCGGCCGGCCGGCTTTTTTTTTTATAGCTGTTTTCATAAATTCTGGAACAACTGAAAAATTGCCGATGACCGAATCTGAATTCAGCCGAGCCGGTTACTTATTGATTCCGATTCGGTAACTTATCGATTCGGTCATCGGCAATGTTTTCAGTTGTTCCAGAATTTATGAAAACAGCTGTAAATTTCATATATAAAATTTTATAAAATTTATATGATAAAATATATAAAAAATTGTAGTAGATATTGTTAAAATGATTCAACCCATTCTTGAATGATAGCATGGAAATGAGGATGGTGTTATATTTAGAAACCGCAGTAAAACGCGTGGATTATGTAGTGTGACGGTCTACGTTCGTCATACACAGATCATTTATAAGTAGCACGTTCCGGGAGCATTGATATTTACTATTTTATGAAATACATTTATCGCGAATCTATTAGTAATGTTAATTCATATTTCGTTTCTTTAAAATTACAAAGCAATTTTATACAAATATTCTGCAAATAGAAATAACAATAATTTACTTCCGAGCAATAAAAACTCCACAACAACGATTCAAAATTCAGGTATGTTTGTGATCGATTTTATTTAAGGAGAAAATTGAAAAAATCCTAATTATTTTTTCAAAATTTCCATATGATTATGTAAATTTTAAGAATGAAGGGTAAAAACAGTTTGAATCAACAAAAGAACGAAAGCGAAACTTTGTGCGATATAAACATGGACGTTATAAGGAGTCAATATAATTCTACGGGTCCAATGGACATGAGATCATTGTATGGATTTAATATACATTTATCTTTACTCTCCTCTTCAAAGTCAATTTTTAAACATATTCTTGTTCAATTTTGTAGTTGTATCAGAGCAAAGAACCAACTACGAAACTTGCTAACAATTTTCCAATTATATATCAGCGATACGAGGGATCCTACTAGAGATGCAAAATATTTTTCGAAATGGGAAAAGAACCTAAAAAAATTAAATGGATTTATAGATCAAATTAATCGTAACGGATCTAATTTTGAGCTACCACAGGAGCTCAGAGGTTCAAAATTGTCGACATTATCAGCTGAAAGTATAAATAAGGCTTACGTATTAATTAATTCTATGAATGGTGCTAATTCCCATACGGGCAATAATCCGGAACAACCTTCATGTCAGAAGATAACCCCTAATCGTAATAAATGGAGAGAAGAAAAACCCGGACACATTGTGTTGTTAGATAGCGATGAAGATAACGATGAAGACAACGAAAATGATACAGGAGACAAGTCTGATCCAATGGTAATTATTTTAAGCGATGATGAAACGACATATACTACCGATCGACCATCAACTTCAGGTGTCTCTGTTACTACTGCTCAAAAATCAAACAATCTATCGAATACCGAAATACAAATAAAAGAAGATATACAACCTTGTTATATGATCTCAACACCAAAAATGTCTAAGAAATATGACTCATTCCGAATTTTAGACGCTGGAAAAAATGAGGTATTACTTAGTTTAGGATACAATGTTTTACTATTTTGTGGCTTAATCTTATTATGTCGGCATCTTAATTCGTAGCTTTATATTAAATTAGCCAAGGAGAAAGGTACATTCTATTACACACAATCGCTTTGATAATATTCACTTATTAATTCATTAATTTCTTATTTAAAAAGAATTAGAGAAAGCATCCGTATTAAAAATGAGAGTTGTTAAGATACAAAAAGCAATAGATGATGATAATAATGGTCGCATTTTGGTATTGCATTAATTGTTCGTTTTCGATTTCGTTATTTTAGGAAAATGATTTTATTTACTATGTAATTTCTAAACTAGGAACAAAAAATCAATCCTCCAAAGGTTCTGGACCAGACAATAGAATTGCTTACTTATTTATCAAAGCACGATATAGTTTCAGATAAAGATACAGAACTTGTTAGTACGGTAACTAATTCAAGTACAACTGAAGTGGTATATTTAATCATTCTATATGCCCAACTGTAACAATGTTCAATGAACAAACGATAATCTAATTTCTTGTCATTAGTTGTCTCCTGAAATAGGAATAATAAATAAGTTTAAAAAATTGAAGTCGTTCAATTTTAAATGTGGTAGTGGTGATGTTAATGAAACAGCTTTGAATTGCAGTAATCCACAATCGTAATTATATTTTCGTTTCGTTAATGCATTTTGTCATTTCTATCATAATTAACAAAGTTTATGAAAATAGTCCAATCCTTGCTGTTGCATACATTGCTTCGCGAGATCCGCGTTATAATCAACCGGGCAACTTGCAGTTCCTTGACATCGCACGGGGTAAAATATTTTTAATTCCGCTTTTTTTTGAACTAATTTAGACATGATACGACTTCCAAATTATAACATAATGTCTAGGAGAAGCATATAATCTTTATGGACATGTTGCACCGGATTTAAAATCGAAAGCTGGTAAGATGTTTAAACATCTTTTTTTTCATGTTTATATTAAATTATATTCTAATTAATTTTTTTTATTTTTTATTAAGATCTATGGACATCAATTACAGATGTTAAATTTTCGCCTGACGGGGAATTTATTTTCTCCGCATCTACTGATGCTACTATCAAGGTATTTATCGAGATTTTGTTAAGCTTTTTGAGATCTTTCTTATATGCGAGTTTTTTTTTAAGATTTGGCAAATAGATGAAACTAGGAATTTTAAGAAACCCTATGATACAAAAGGTAACAATATGATTGCAAACTCAATTATATGATTTAATTCACAAATTAATATTAAAATACGAACCCAGTATGTCAGTCACAAATAAATCGACTAGCGGTCAGCCAAAAACCAAAAAACGGTTCCATGTACCAATTTGCTTCTTGTGAAGACTCCGGGTATTTATTTTAAATTTATATATTAATTTTAAAGTATTCGACATGAAATTAATCTTTTAATTTATAGTTTAGTTCAAGTCCACTCTATAAGGAAAGACCAATATAAGTTTATTTTGTCTTCTCAAGGATTTCAAGAAGATAAATGTTACAGGGCTGGAAGTGACGTTTTATTCGGACCGGAGAATTTTCTCATTGTTGGACACAATGGTCTTTCAGGTGACAAACAAGGTGTTGTTAAGGTTTGGGACATTAATACAAGAAAAAGGGAATCCTATATGAAATGTTATTTTTCAAGTGGCATTAGTTGTCTAGATATGTCCCATTATGGTAAGTTTACTAAGTACGAATTCTATTAAAATGACAACTTGTACGCATTTAGTTGTATGAAATACAATTGTTTTTATCCTATTAATAATTTAACTGTGACATAATATATTATTCTATATTATACAACATGAGATTATAAATATATTGTTAATATGAAAATTGGTTTGCATGGTGTCAAGTTATCAATAATTGCTTTTTATTTTGTAGGAAAATGGGTCGCTTGCGGAACTACTGGTGTTGATAACGAAGAAGGTGATGGGCGCATGTGGATCTGGAATTTACAATGCGGCTCGAAGGTATACTGTGCAACTCAAGAGAGAGATGCAAATGTGATATCAATATCACAAGATGATAAATATATAGCTCTTGGTGGAATATCCAATACTGTCTATGTATTTGATCCAAGAAAAATGAATATGTTACTATATGCATTTAAGCATGAGGGTAATCTAAAAATTTTATTTATTTTTGTTTACTTTTTTTTATAATATTTTATATAAATTATTTGCTTTTATTGTAAACCTAAGATCCAAATGATGGTCTTCTTCATGATGGAATAATGTCATTACATTGGATTCCAGATAGCAGCTTGCTTATAAGCGGGGGTAATGATAATTGTGTAAGAATTTGGGATGTAAATAAATGCGGAAAACAAAATCCTTTAGTTTATCAGTTTACAGAGCATGATAGTCCTGTTACTTCTGTTAGATTATCACCAGGCATGTTTAAGTTTAATATTTGTTTATGGATTGAAATAATTTTTAACAATTCAACTGTTTTTGTTATTTTTTAGATCTTAGTCTTATGACTGTTGGAGTTTCTACTGGAAAAATTTATGTGTATTCTTCAAATGAAAGTTTTATTCAAGCTGGTAATAGACTTAAATATTTGTAAACATAATAGATTTTGCAAATAACTTTAATTACGTTTTAAATAAAATTTTGCAAAATATGTAAATAAAAATATTAAATAGAATTGACTTTTATATATATATGCTTTTTGTATTAGAATTAATTGTTGATGTTAAAATTTAAAATTAGGTTTAAATTTAAAGCTATTAAAGAGTATTAAGTAATTTATTGCAACTTATATAATGATATATAATTTTACTAGAATTAAACACTATATTGTAACCATGGCTATTTGTAGTTGCATTTTATAATTTTTATAATAATTTAAAATTTTACTAGATAACTACAATTTTACTTTAACTTAATTTTAATCTATATAATTATAAAATTTTATTTTTATAAAAAAATATTTTAATATAGTGGCTAATATCTAAAGCCAACATATTTTATATATAGGTGCCAATTTTTTAGCTGCAGTATAATCTAATTGTCCAATAAAAATGCAAAAAAACTTAATGCAATTATTTTAATTTTTGTTAATAAATTCAAATTTTGTTATATTTTTTTATATATAAATACTAATTTTTTTTTTTTTAACAATCATGTCACAACTTTATTTTTAATATAAATTTTACATTTTCTACAAAATGTAATCTCTACTTATAGCTATACTATTTTCAAACTAAAATGTAGCTCATCCAGTTTCCTATTGGTATCTATGTGCGACTTGCCAAAGTAGAAATAGCTTTGCTGCTTCTTCTTTATCTACCTCAAATAATAAATCCACAGTTCATTAGCCAAGATCTATGGCCTGTCATGATCTATTAATTTTTATTTTACTTAAACTATTTACTGGTCCAAACCCAATTATTTATCTCTTCTATTACTATATCTAATCTATGTTTATAATTGTTCCACCAGGTTAATTTATTTCTTTTTCTCTCAATCTTATCTATTAAGGGTGGATCTTCTAGACTGATTCCATGTGTTCTTCTTGATTTGGAGCCTATTAAAGCAGATTTTTTTTTCTTTTTTTTCTAGGATTTATTTGTAATTCCTTTTCCAGGATGCTACTTCATTACATCTTTGAAGCCAAATTGTTTCTTAGAAGAATGTATACCACTTGGCCTACTAATCGAGAATTATTACTTCAGAAATTTGGCTTAAGACACTATTGATATAAATAATATTAATAGATCTGCTTTGATTAACCCTCTTGCTATTTGTACTGTTTTTCTTTTACCAGGTAAAGAGTGTTCAAAGAGAGCTTCTTCTTTGTATATATATCTAGATTAACCCAAATTTTCTTTGCAATTGCTTGCTCTTTGTTTTGCCACCTGTCTTTATTATAACTAGATAATCAAAGTTTTTTTCTTCTTTCTTGCATTTTCTACAAAGAGCTAATGGATATAGATCTTCTCAATTTTTTTTACCAGTATAAAGTATTAGAAGAAAACCATTTAAGCTTTTAAGTCTGAAACTTTATTTTTTGTTTGTTTTAAAGGACCTTCTTTTTTCTTTTTTTTTTTTATTCTACAAGTTTCTAAAAATTTTTCAGTTCTGTTTTACTAGCCTTCTTGAGTAAATTATGTTTTAAAGTTATTTATAAATAATCATTCAAGCTTGTAAAAAATATATGAATTTCTTAAAGAAGCTATGAATTGGAGTTTCAATTACTGTATTTTTCCACATTGGTTTAAATACTGTTTTCTGCAATATGTTTGTATTAATTTTTGTTGCTTCAACTTCTTTTGTACCCTTTTTTGCTACCCTATCTGCTAAGTTATTTAATATATTACCTGCATGTGCTTTAACTTTGAAAAGGTGTATATTTAAATTTTTGGTGCTTAGATTTTTGGTGATAGCTCCTAGGATGTTCAGGTTTTTGATTTTGCATCACAAACTTGTACTTTTAGTTTTTTAAATTCTCTCTACTATCTGTAAAGATGTTTATTTTGAAGTTGCTTGGTGAAATTAATAATGCATTTAGGATTGCTATAAGTTCTGATCTAGTTGAAGGAAACCACTCTTGAATTCTACTTTTAATTTCTCTTACTATATTACTCTTATAATCTATCTGAATTATCTTATATCTTACTTTATACTTTTCTACACCTCCTTCTCCAAGTAAGCTGTCTGTATAAAATATTAATTATTTAAAGACCTGATTTTCTTTTGCTGCTTGTATTAGCTCCTACTGCTTATTACTATTTCCTATTATATTTTTATGAGTTGCATTTTCCAGTTTTTAATAGAAATTTAATGCACTATTTCTGTTTTTTCTTTTCTGAAACTACCAAGTCTGAGGAATTCGAAGCTAGTAGCCATGGCCTAGTCTTTTTCCTTCTTTTGTTTAATCCAGAAGCTTATATCTTCTAATTTACTTTTTTCTGTCTCTATAATGTTAAAAGTGAAGACTATTTCTAATCTGAAAGAGATATTATAAGACTTATTTTCTTTGTTTTTTTTCTGTTCATTTAGTTACTTGAATCTTGTTTTATAAAAGCTTTTTTTGAATTCTTCTAATAAAACAAGAATTGTTTTCTTTTTTTGTTCCTACTATCTATTCTTTTTTTGATTTTTTATATGATAGTTTTCTTTTTTTTTTGTATATATTTAATTCTTGTTTATTTTATTTGCTTGTCTTAGAGATTTTTTAATCTTACAAGAAGTTTTGTTTTGAAGTACAATATTTTTTAATTTCTGAAACTATAGTGAAACTTTTCCTCTAGTTGCCAAGACTCGCACTCTATGAATTTGTTACCAAGTAAGCAACAAGTTGTTGTATCTTGAGATTATTTGTTCCAGATATCATAAATTCAAGTTTTTTAAAGTAAGACTACCTTTATCCAAGTCTTTTTTGCGAAATAGCCTATGTAGTTTATTTGTTGTACCTTTTTTTGGATCTATGTTTCAGTCTTCTTTCCAATTCAGGATTTTGATACTGATTTTAAGTTCTTTTAATGCTACCAGTATATCTGTGTTAAGGTTATTTTTCTATTTATAGCATTTTATTTTATTTTGATCAAATAACTATACTAGCTTTGTGGATCTTAATGTGAGCTAAGCATCTTTTAAATACAATCTAGTAAAATCTCCTACTAAATTTGGATTATTAATTCTAATTACCTATTCTGAGATTATGTATTCAGTATAAAATTGTCATAGAGAGTTAATTTCTCATATATCTCCTTGTGTCAGTATGAAGTCAAATGCAGTTAAGGCCATTTCTGCTTTCTATTTTGTAGCTCGTAAGACTGGTTAATACAGTTTTTCACATTCTTTTTTAGTTAACAATGTCAAATTCAGCTTGTATTTAGCTTTGGGAAGAATTACTATATTGTTTATATATCTTATATATTTTATTAAAATTCTCTTTTTAAGTAGTAACTAGGCTATTTGTTTAATTTCAAAACTAAGTTTCTTTTTAATTATTTGTTTAGTATCTGCTGTTGTAAACAGTGTTCAAAATTTTAGGCTTAATTACTGTTCTTATAAGAACAGTGTTATAACTTTAAATATAATATGTAAATTTATTAATTAAAATATTTTAAAGAAAGTGCTATTTATTATCTGATTTTTTGCTACTAAGTGGCTATTCTCCACTTGATCATAAATGCTGCATTTTAATTGGCTAAAAAATATTAAAATTTTTTAAAATTTTGACCTTTAATACTAGATAACTTTTGACCCAATAGTTTGTTTTGAATAATTTTACTACCAAAATGTCTATCTCAATAAGATGATTTTAACAAGCCCAAAATCATAAAATTCTAAGATTATTATAAATTTGTATTGCTTTAATTATATTAATAATTTTATAATTTATATATTAATACATATATAAAGTAATACAAATCTATAACAATCTCAGGATTCTGTGATTGGAATTTGATGATTTTGACTTGTTAAAATAGTCTTAGTGAGAGAAACATTTTGGTAGTAAAATCATTCAAAACAGACTACTGGGTCAAAAGTTATTTAGTATTAAATTTTGAAATTTTTTATAATTTTAATAATTTTAACTAATCAAAAGCTATTATTATATTAGGATCTGATATTTTTCTGACCCCACTCTAAAAATCAAGTAATAAATAGCATTCCTTTAACTTATGAAATATTGTAATTTACAAAATCTTTTGAAAACTCTTTCTGATAATCACCTGGACCAAAATTTCCCACCAAACAAAAAACCAAAATTTGTTGGAGAGGAGAAGACGAGGCGGTTTTTGTAAAGATCAACCTTTTGATTCTAAAGAATCCTTTGCATATTCGGCATGCAAACCAGAAGCGTTAGGAACAAGATAACTGGCAAGAGTTGGTGCTCTTGCTTCCAAAATTCTGAAAAAAAGGTGTTCATGAGAAGTTGGAGCCTTTTTGTCAACGAAGTAACTCGTAATACAAAAGAATAAAATAGAAAGAGAACAACAAATAGGTTTTTCAAACAACACTTTCTGGAAATTTGGAGACTTTTCTTGGAATAACATACATCATGGCTTGGTTTGAAAGGAGCCTTAACATGAGACATGGGAAAAGGGATCTATTATAGGCACGGCACTTGTCGTTTAGAGGTAGTTCTCATATGCTACCTGCCGACAAGCTCAGAGTTTATTACTTACCAAAAAAACTTAGTACTATGCAGGCTTGGGTAGATATTTCTTAGGTGTTTCCTCTTGGTTTTTTTACCTCCCTCTCGCTTTTGCTGTTTTTTTCAAAATTTTCGAAAAAAAGTAGACATTTGGGCTCACCCCCCTCCAAAAGATCGGTATTGTTTACACCTTCCTAATTCGGACGTACTCAGTAGAATGCAACCATGTGTTTGTTTTGTTTATCAATACGGTACTACGATATGGAGAAGAGACCGATACCCCCATTTAGGAGATACCTGAGTTTTGTTAGTGTCCGGAACGAGTTCTCTACGATAAGGTGACGTCTTACAATCAAGATATATTAATTAGTTGCAATTATTATATAATTTTTATTCTTATGCCTGGCACAGGCTATAATAGTGTGTCATGGCTACTTTTCTTTTTTTTCGCTTTT